AGAACATAGGAGACAAAAGCAGTTTTTGACCTATATCTCAAAAACTACAGCAGTAAGAGCAAAAGTGAAAGGAGTTAAAGTGATAAATGGGTCATAATCTATCTGTTATGAAATTTTCAGACAAGTTCGACAACCCATTGTTGGGTTACTGTTGGAAATAGTGTATTTCTATTATATTTTACTGTTTTTTTTTAATATTATAATAGATCGAGAGAAAACATAAATGGCAATAAATGTTCAGCTAAGTAAGATCTACAAATAAATCAACATGATCAAAATAGTCAATTAAGGAGTTATTGTCCTTAAAAGGTTTTTTTTTACATTTTTTGTGAGTCTCATTACTTTTTCAAAATCTTTTTCTCTGAAACTACTTGGCCAAATACTTAAAAAAAACTTTAATCGAATGTTCCTTATCAGGGTATCTAGTTTATAGATTGTATTCGGGGAGTTGATCAATTCAAAAGAATAGCGGCAGTTTCTAAAAATAGAACATAGGGGTCAAATGAAGTTTTTGGCTTCATCCCAAAAACTAAAGCAGTAAGAGCAAAACTGACATAGGTTCAAGTGTTAAACAGGTTTAGATCTACCTGTCAAGTAATCTTCAGACTAATAGGACAACTTATTGTTGGGTTACTGTCCAGAAATAGTTAATTTTTAGGAAATTTTACAGTTTTGGGTTATGTATTATCTTTAATATCATTATAGAAAGAGAGATAGTGTAAATGACAAAATTGTTCAGCAAAGTAAGATCTACAAATAAGTCAAATGCCTGAACGTGAAATTACAGGTTAGCGATATCAGGCTCTCATGAGCCTCTTGTTTTATTAATATCTTGAGTAAAGAAATATATAAAGAGCAACTTGAATAGCTAAACTGGTTAGTAAGGCAACATTTACAAAAAATTAACATACTTGAAATTTATGATCAACTTCTTATAGAAGAAACTGCTTCTAAATAGGAAAGACATTTTCAATGAAAACAAACTATTTTATTTTTTGCTTCTCTTCTGAAACAAATAATGTCTTTTTCAAGAATTTCAAATCAAACATTTAAAAAAACATGCCCCTCGCCCCCAAAAAGATGAATGTTCGGTACCTTAGCCCTGTTTACAGTTCTTGATTCTGGAGGTGTATATACATGTATGAGCCTCATCCCAAGAAAATTTGTATGTTGCAGGTTACTGTCTAGTTGAAGCTGTAGAATAAATGCACGAAAACGTAATAAAAAGCTGTGCGCAAATGTAATGCACCGAGTTGAAGTTCATCCCATATCTCCTTTCATCCATACCGGGGCCGAGTTGTCTAAGTAGTCAAACTACTGTATCACTATAACCTGTCAACACTTAGGTTGTGAGTTCGAATCCCGAACAAGAAGGCAGGTAACTCCACTCCAATCTTAATTGACTAGAATTGTCAGATTTTCTACGAAGGTCGGTGGTTTTCTCCGGGCACTACGGCTTCTTCCACCATTATAAACTGACCGCCTCGAAATAGCACGAGTGTGCTGAAAGTGGAGTTAAACACCAATTAATTAACCAATTAATCAGTCAATCATCCATACCGCTATACTTATGCATGATTAGAAAGTTTTATAGCTATTGTTATGAAATACTTTTTAAAATGACTGTGATTTAATTGGTGTAGAAAATGAATTAAGATAATGCGGCAATTCACAAAGAGGAACAACATATACCGGTATAGTGAGAGAAAAATAATGACAATGAATTTTTAGCAGAAAAATTAGTTGCCAAAAAGACAAGAAATGGTAAAAATTATAATAGAGTTAAGTGGGTTGGTTATAAAAAGACCACATGGGTCGCAGAAGAAGATATTGGTGAAGGTTTACTAGTAGAATTTTATACAAAATACACCAAAAGTGGCAAATTAAGAAAAAAGAAACAAAGCAGTTGTTTTACAAAAGCAAATATGGAATAAATAAACATAGGATACATAAAAAAAAAGCAAATGAAAATAAGCTTTATATGGCATAAATAGAATATGATGTATAATTATAAAGAATAAAAACAAATGAATAGAAATATGAGGAAACTTGAGATATTAATTGCAATTACTAGCTAGTACGTAAGAATATTATAAATAAAAACAACCAAAAACATCTCGATATATGAAATAAAAACATGAGATTTGATACTGACAAGAATTATGTGCGCACATAAATATCAAGTATAATAAGAAACCAGTATAAAAATGAAAGCAATTAAATAAAAAGAAAGACAAGATTTTTTTTTTATGATTTGATAAATCAACCTGATTTTAATTGAATGTAAAATGCCTTAATCTAATGTGTGTTATAACTTCAATAACAACTTAAATGTTCACATATATATAACAAAGTAATTTGAACTAGTTAAGACCATAAGAATTTAAGTTCCTTAAATTAGTGCTAAATGAAGAGGATCCCTTCATATAAACTTGGCTTTAACAAACTTTAAATTATATGTTGTAGGTGACCAGACAGGTGCTACAAAGCTTTAGACCATTTGTTACAACATTGAAAGTTATTTTCATGCTGGCAGTTCTTTTGAACATACCTCAATCTAAGGCAAATTCAATATTGCGGTTGAACTATGGAATCCTATTTGAAAAACAAGCTAATGTGCATTTTAGCAATGATGTCTGGATGCATACATTTCAAATAAGATTACCCGTTAAAAAAGAGATGAAATTGATAAGTCCCTGTAAAGGAAAAGACTTTTGCGAAAATTTTAATAAGCTAGCAAATGAATTGAATATTCTCCAACTGCAAACAACAAGAGAACTTAACCAAACAATAACCACTTTGAAGAACATAATTCCAACTAAAAGCAAATATAATAATAGGAAAAAGAAGGCAATTTTAGGATTTATTGATGAATTATCCAAATCAATATTTGGTACAGCTACTGTTTCTGATGTAAAACTCCTAGCTCAGCATATCAACGCCCTGACAACAAGAACTTTAAAATTAACCAAAGAAATGGCTATTCACTCAGATCACCAGTCTTCATTTATGTCAATAGTAAATAAAAGAATTTCGAACATTGTTAATGAAATGATTTGTTGCAAAATGTTATAAGAAATAACACAAAGGCACTTGAAAAATTATTTTTTACCATACCAAACACAATTTTAAACACCATTACTATAAATACAGAGGTCAAACAAAAATTAAATAATTTGAAATTAGGAATTTTCAGTTTAGTTGAAGGAAAATTATCTCCCTTGTTGATTAAACCAGCAACTTTAAGAAAATCTTTAAAACAAATTGAAATGCAATTGCATCAAAAATATCCAGTATATTGTTCAAAAAAATGTAAACTATTATTATTCATCACAAAATTTTGTATACTCCAAAAAAGGATCTGATATTTTTATTATGATAAAAATCCCAATAGCATATAAAATGGCAAAATTTGAATTATTTTCAGTCACTGCTCTTCCAGTCCCAGTAAACACTTCCTTACATGCTACTCAATTAATAGATGCCCCTGAATATTTAGCTTTGTCCAATGATAAGAAAACATATTTACCCCTTACAAGTCAACAAATTATGAAATGCAAGAATTACAATAACAATATGTACTGTCCTTTATTACAATCATTTTCTGTAAGTGGAGATTCATGTATAGTATCTATTTTTAATAATGATAAAGATAAAGTACAATCATTGTGTGATTTTAGATTTTTACACAACAAGATAATGCCGAAAATTATGTATTTGAAATCTTCTGCAATAGTTGTATATAAAATCCCACAAATGTCAATAGATTGTTCAGGAAAACAAATTTTTCATGAAGGTTGTGATTTTTGCATTATGAATATTCCTTGTCAATGTTCAATTGCCACTAAATTATTAAGTTATCCCCCCTCAATTACTTCATGAAAAAGGTCAAATAATATTACACTTGTCCATCCCATAAATCTAGCATTGCTTGAACAATTTTTCACTGCAAAACAATTGATAGAAATAAATGGTAGTTCTACATTTGTAGAAAAGATGAGTATTAATGTTCCAGACTTTAAAATTTTTATGCTATCTTCCTACAACCGTAACAAACCATCTGATATGTAAGTGTCATAATTCGACGAAAAGTTCTTTTTGATATCGTATGGGCAATGTATAAATGAATGGAGAAACTAGAAAGTAAATTGCAAAATTTTTACTTATTCGTAAAAAATTCTTTCATATCAAAATACACAATATATATACATCTGTACAACACGATAATAATGAATGAAAATACATAAAAACACTAATAACATATTACATAACATATTACATAATACAATAGCTTGGCCTAGAAAAGGGGTTAACTAAGCCAAGCCAAAAATGTCATAGTTAGACAAAACAACAAATTTCTAAGTTAAGAAAAGGAGTTGAAAAAAGGGGATGGAGGGAGGGAAAATTGATAAAATCCCAAATAAAATCTTGTTTACATAAATATCGATCGTGTTGATTATCAAGAATGTGTAAAACTGTGACGTGTAGTGTAAATACTGCAACACAAGATCTAGTGCAGGGGCTCCCCAAAGGGAAAGGCAAAAATTAAATTAGAATAAAACTAAAGATTTCCGTTATCTGCATAAAATAAGTTATTAAAATAACTTGCCTTTATGCTATCTTCCTACAACCGTAACAAACCATCTGATATGATGTAAGTGTCAGAATTCGACGAAAAGTTCTTTTTGATATCGTATGGGCAATGTATAAATGAATGGAGAAACTAGAAAGTAAATTGCAAAATTTTTACTTATTCGTAAAAAATTCTTTCATATCAAAATACACAATATACATACATCTGTACAACACGATAATAATGAATGAAAATACATAAAAACACTAATAACATATTACATAACATATTACATAATACAATAGCTTGGCCTAGAAAAGGGGTCAACTAAGCCACCAGGAAAGATGCAATAAAATAAATCTTTCCTACCCCACAAAGGCCAAGCACTTGGCAGAAAATAAAGCTTTGAGCTTAATGCCTGTAATTAGTTCCAATTGAACCATACAAGTATAAATACAATACCGGCCCAAGCAAGTACTGTTATGTTAACAGACAAAGTCCTTGTAAGCAAATAATGACAATACAAACTTCCACAACAATCTATCGTGCATAACTAAATAGATATTAGAGCCACAAACAAACATCTATGTATTAATGTTAATGTATGCATTATAGTTAATTATGCAAAAATATAGCATGCAATTGGCATTGAAAACTTAACGGCCCAAGCAGTTAAGTATTGTTAAAATAACATAGCTTCATGCGTTGAAACCTTTTATCTTTTATAAGTGCTATTGCATAAAATGATATGTTTATTATATGATGACACACTAACTGGAGATTTACCAAAAATAAAATTCGTATTGATTGCCAATTACCGGCCCAAGCAAGTAACGCAGAGATGCTGAAAAATTTGTATATATTCCTATAAAAATAATTGTACCGGCCCAAGCAGGTACCAAAAATGCCTATCAATTTAAATGGGATCTTATGTATTTTTGAAATGCGTTAGACTTCCAACGTTCCATAGAGCATATTTGTGAATCGGATAAGCCTCTCTCGGCAGCATCAGATGCTGCTCCTATGCGGAAACTGTGTCCTTTGTATCTCGAACTATCCAGACCACAAGATGCTAGGCATTTATGTAAAATTCTGTCAAAGTCTGGACAATGTAATGGAGTGGTATCAACAGAACAAAACAATGGTTCTGTGGGTACGGAATAGGGTCCCACTTTAAGCTACCCAACCATAGCTACGACTGCTGATTCCATTGCGGTACCATGTGAAAACGAAATAGTCTTTGGCATTCCTCTAACGTTATGCTTAAAATGCAGAAGAAAACCTGAACTTCTGCAGCTTTGCCCTGTACATAAGACAATGAAACATCATGCAATAGCAGAACATTATCATTTGGGGCATTTTTTGTTGTCACCAACTCTCCAACTCTAGAGAAAGTTGAAAAAGCAAATAAGAAAATTGCCTTGAAAAAAACTTGATCATATGTACACTTGATAACTAATGTTATACTATGTAACAACTTGTTTAGAATAGGAATTGTAATTGGGAAACGGCTATCAAATGTTTTTGATAATCTATGTGTGCCTGTAACTAATTTTTCAACTAAAAACGACCGAGTGTTGTCAGGCATTGACATCATTTTGTCCACATAGGCTATGGCGGATAGATATGTTGAAATTGTACTAGGAGCATATGATTTTTTAAACATGTGGGCAATGAATAATGAAATTGTAGCTACAGATATTGGTGGCTGCAGACTTTGGTTCATTATTTCTGTACAGAAAGAGTCAAAAGTTTTTCATGCGCGGCTGTAAGTAGCTTGAGTTGATGGAGCTAGAGCTGCATTTGCTAAGATTGTAACGTACTCCAAAAGTTCTGTGGCTGGAATTGATATGGAACTAAGCACGGTTTGGGTTGAGCAGCTGGGACTATTTTCAAAAACTGTTCTACCTGTAAACGAGAAAGGCAATCTGCAAAAATATTCTTCTTTCCGGGTATATGCTTTGCTTTAAATAATATGTTAAATTGCAAACATCTTAAAACCATGTATCTAACCATTTTCATTGCTTGACAATCAGATGTTGACTGTCTATTAATCACAGAAACCAGTGCTTCATTGTCAGTGAATAATAGTATAGAGTGATTTCTCCACAATGGCCCCCATAACTCAATTGCTAAGATGATAGGGTAAAACTCCAAGGTCATTATATTGATGTTTTTCCAGTTTTCTGGGAATGGACCATAAAACCATTTTGACCTGTATATGCCTGCATAGCCTTTAGATTGTGCAGCGTCAGTGTGAAGTTCCAATGTATAACTTGACATGAAACTTTCATTTAAAAACATTGATTTCCCATTAAAAGAATCTAAAAACTGAAGCCATATTCTCATGTCATCTTTTGTCTCCAGATTTAGATAAACGTGAGTTTGAGAATCAGATACAGTCATTGTTAAATTAATCATCCTTCTCAAAAATGCACGTCCTGGTTGAATAACAGAACAAGCAAAATTCAAGACTCCAATAAGTGATTGCAGTTCTTTTAATGTACAACATTTCATATGTAAGAACTTTTCCAGAAGATATCGACATTTTGTAATCTTATCCAGTGGCAAACGAGCTTCTTGTTTAATTACGTCCAATGTTATGCCCACAAAATCCATAGTTTGAGAGGGGAGTTCAGTCTTTTCTGCTGATAAGGGTACCCCCAAGTCTTCACATAAATTGATGAACGCCTTGAGTTTGGAAATTGCATCCTCTTTCGATTTCTCAATGATCAGAAAATCATCCAAAATATGCACCATTGAAGTGATACCTAATTTCGTCAATGCTATCCATTCTAAAGCAGTACTGAACTCTTCAAATATTTTACAACTGGTCTGACATCCCATTGGGAGGCAACAATCATAGCAGAACTTATTATTCCATTTAAAACCTAATAATTCATAATCTGTCGGATTAACTGGAAGGATTCTAAAGGCCGATCTAACGTCGGTTTTGGATAGGAAAACTTGATAATTGCGGCTACGCAGTTGTTTAATTTCATTAATGGCTTCATTAATGCCTGCATAATGTACTGCAGCAGATTCGTCAGAAATACCAGCATTAACTGAATTAGATTTTTTGTCTGAGTACGACAAGTGATGAATTAATCGCCAAGCTGATTTAGACTTTTTAGGTACAAGACCTAATGGTGAAACCCTCAAATTTAAAAAAGGTTTTTCTAAATAGGGGCCCATAACTCTTTGACAATTAACCTCTTTATTAATTTTTTCTTGTACTATTAAATGATTGCTTTTAGCTGATTTAAGGTTAGAGCAATTAAACTGTGATCTAGGCCCATTATGTTCCAATCGAAAACCATATTTAAAACCGTGTAAAAGATAAAGTGATTTTTCTGAGTCATAACTTTGCAAATGAAATTTCAATCTATCTGTCTTAATAGGAGTAGGTAATTTACATTTGTTTAGTTTTGGTGGCGGCAGCTGCAGGTCGTTGTATATGAGCTGTGGTTTCAAAATTTTTTCTGGATGGTCCATTGTCATTTGATCTGTTTGTTGTTTTATTCCTGAAGCATTGGGACATAGAATTACCTTTGAAACAGATACTGCAGATATGGGAGTATCCACAAGTTCCTTCACAAATTCGCCCCTCATTATATCTGTGGCATGTTTTACGAGGGGCATAGTTTGGAAAGGGCTTTGCATTGTTGTATGTGTGAGTCCTTTTCATCGGATTTGGATTATTAACTTTAGGAATAAATCTATTAAGGGACCTCGTATGTAAAATTTGATCAACATAACTCCAAGAAAGTGTGTCATCATTTTGCATTGATTGTCTAAAATTAACATCGTAAAAATACCAATCGCCACCATCCTTTTGAATTTGTCTAATCAAATCCATATATATGGCTAAATCCTCTGCTAAAGTAGGGTGAGTGGGGTTAAACTTCCTGAGTACGGAAGAGAAAATGCTAAATGCATCTGTCCAACTTTCAATGCTAACAAATTTCTTTTTTTTTCCAGATGTCAGGCCCACCCTCTTATTCTGAACAGCTAAATGAAAATTTAGTTCAGCAGGATGGTGGTCAACTAGGATGTCTGACATATCAATAAAATCCTTATTTTTAATTTTTTCTTGGAGTTTAGAATTTATTTTATTATACAACGGTCTACCTATTGGTTTAAAGGTTGCTGTACCATGGTGAACCTGATTAAAACCTGCAACCAAGCTTTGTGCAGGAATTTGAACCATGTTTTGAGTATTGTGAGTGCCAAAACTAGACACGTTTTCTCTAGAATAGCTAGAAGTTTGTGTGTGGTGTGACAAACTGTGTGTGGGTTCACCTGTACTTGAACTGTTAGGTAATGATAAATCACCTTCATGTACGAGGACATCCATCTCAACAGGTTGGGGTCTCGTCGGACGAGGTTGCGGCAATATGCCATTCTCCTTCAAATTCACCAGCACTTGGCAGTCACAGCTGCCGAGATTGTCTTTGTCATTGCATTCTCTGGGGTTTGGGTTTGGTCTTTTTTCTGCCATTTAGATTGCCTCTCACTAGGCTTCCTTTTAAGAGGCATCCTGTTAATATACAAGATACTATCAATATAAATGAGCTCAATAATTATATAATTTTAATGAAAATAAAGTGTTTGTCTATATAAAGATTTATTGAAACACATAGTCTTTGATAAATCACATGGTTTAACATTACCATGCAAATACCATACTGACCAAACACTTGGTCTGTAATTAATTTTTAATGACCAAAACTTGTACCATAAATTACATTTTTTGACCAAATCCATATTTTAATAAACTCATTTGGCCAAAATAGGCATATACATAATCTATCATCAATTTCCATTGACCAAATTTACATGGTTTATTAGTATTGACCAAATCCATGGCCTATAATTACAATCATTTGACCATATCCATGATCTATATAATCAAGTTGTACTGACCAAATTCATGGTCTATAAATTACTGCTATTGACCAAAACCATGGTCTATAATTATTTACATGATCTATAATCAAGTTCTATTGACCAAATACATGGTCTAAAAATAACAGTTATTGACCAAAACCATGGTCACGACCAAATACATGGTCTATAATAATATTCATGATCTATAATCAATTTCTATTGACCAAATACATGGTCTAAAAATAACAGTTATTGGCCAAATCCATGGCCACGACCAAATACATGGTCTATAATAATATATATGATCTATAATAAATTTCTATTGACCAAATACATGGTCTATGAAAAACAGTTATTGACCTAAACCATGGTCACGACCAAATACATGGTCTATAAATAATATTTATTGATTGAGTCTATTCTCTATAATCAACATCCATACAATAATGACCAAGTATATGGTCCAGGTACAAATTAATATATGATTTTATACATGTATGTCATATTCTGATGACTTAAATACATACTTAATTGGTGGTCTTAATATAAGTATGTATAAATCAAAGATAGACTTATTATACAAGTATTTAAAACGAGTTCATCCAATAAGCATGATTAGTGTTGTTTACTAAATGTTCGAGTTCATTCAAGCTTATTATTAAAATGTAATGTTTACCTGATGTGACACAATTAAAGGTGAGACAGCTTCTTCACAATATTTACAAACAATATACAAACGTGTACTGTAGTATAAAAAACTCTCAAAAACTGAAAATATAGAAACTAGAAAAATATTAACATATTAATATCATGAAAAAATACATGTAATAATTATCCATTCTTTAAAAACAGATTTTCTAAATAAACATTTACCTAAAAAAAAAATTAAAAAAATTAATCTGTTATTAGATTCAACAAGTTATATACATGCACAATTTTACGTGGATGTAAAATATTTTAGAAAGTACATTTAAAGTACAACGTATACAGTTTGTATGACAACATTCACAACTTATCATTTTTGTCATTACTCTCTGTTCATGCAAATAATTAGTAAACTAACCTCAACAAGCATATTAGATGAAAAGAAACAACTATTCTACACTATGACTCTATAGCATGCAAAATGGCCAGACGTAAACGTCTATAATATTTTTGAATTCCCAATGCAGACAAATGTACTCCGTCGGAAGCAAAGATTTGCAATGGGCTATTCATCAGCCTTAAATGTTTCCAAAACAGCTTCTTGTCATCTACCAGGATGGGTAACATCTGATTAACTATCCTTCTCTTGTTCTCATACTGCTATGCTGTAATGTACCAAGGTTGAGTCCTCGTAAAAAGTTCACATACAACAACCTTATTTACAAAGCTGTAATGTAATTGAAAATCAGACATCAAATCCACAATTTTACATGCTAATGTCTCTGGTTTCAAACCTGGATCACATAAATCATTTCCTCCTATCTGTAAAATAATTACTGAGGGCTGAAAATTCTGAATGTGAGCATTTAAATCTTCATTGTTTTGCAGTCTGTCAACTGTACCTCCTCTAATACCATAACAACTCACGCTGCATTGAGCTAAATTAAAGTCCGGTGATAACTTCGGGTCGTATGTTAATGCTTGCGTTAGACGAGAAATAAAGCTGTGTCCTAATATCAAAACTTTCGGACCTGGCGTAATTTGAATATCCATTTTCACTCTTTTGACAATGTCAATATTTAGAACGACGAAGTATAACTGTAACTCTTTAACGAATCTTCCTCCAATGAAGGTGCACCTCAAAACAACTTCCAACAAAGTTTGTAATAGTTCCGTAAATTGATAGATATTGGAAGTGAAAAATAAACGCTGTATAAGAAAGTGTTCAAATAAATAGAAATTCAGTTTATGCAATTAACGGATAGAAAAATCTTCAAATGCATTTGATATGCATAAGATTGCAATGTAATGTTCGTACACAATAACATTCCAAGATGGCGATGAAGCTCAGCTTCCCTGATCAATATTTCATTTACATCAACAACAATAATAAGTTCAAACGACTGCAACTATAAACATTACCTGTTAGTTCTCCAAAAATAAAGAATTATATAAATTGTCTAAATGTCCAAATAACTGTTAAAAAATTGATAAAATCCCAAATAAAATCTTGTTTACATAAATATCGATCGTGTTGATTATCAAGAATGTGTAAAACTGTGACGTGTAGTGTAAATACTGCAACACAAGATCTAGTGCAGGGACTCCCCAAAGGGAAAGGCAAAAATTAAATTAGAATAAAACTAAAGATAAGATTCCGTCATCTGCATATAATAAGTTATTAAAATAACTTGCCTATAATCATTCCTATTCTTCATTTTTGGTAAAAGATCAACAAGAACATCTTATTATTTTTCAAGATTTGACAGAACCTTTATTAGATGGTCAGATAGATATAGAAAGTAATTGGCCAAATCGTAATGGTACACTTGGTTTAATTGCAACTTCTTTAGCCAGCATTATATTTATTTATTGTATTTGGTCATTTTTCAAAATTAGAACATTAACAACAACAATTTTGATTTTAGAAAGAACAATTAATACTCATTCTGCTTCTATACCATCTTTTATTTTTAAACCGGAAACAACAACCACTAACTCTATAATGTCTCACACGTTTGAAAAGGAATTTAATATGAATCATATTTTATTAATAATAATTGGTATTTTGATTATATTTATTGGACTTATATTATTAAGAAGAAGAAAATCGAAATAAAATTTTACATATTTAATGATGGAGATTACTACTGGTACTTCTTGTCTTCAAGTTCCCCTTATTAAGATGCCACTATGTCCTGCTTATTGGGAAATTAATATGCCCCCCGCTGTAGAATCACTAGAGGTCGTTGGTACTTTTCAACCAACTTTATTAATTAAATGGTACGAATTTTTGATCAAAAACAAAATAAATGACAAATCATTAACTGTACCTAAAATGATCAGATTGCCAATCTTTCAAAGTTTACAACTAAAACAAATTTTAAAACAACCATACTGTGTGTATATTCTTCTAGTTCATCAAAACCTATTTAAAGTCTTAAATCACGAATAAGGTCTTTTTTGCCTGACAAATTTTCTACCTTAATTTTTTTTTTTCTTCTCAATATTGTTAAGTTATATAGTGATATAGTGATAGGACATCAAAGCATGACTTGTGCCGTATATTCAAAAAGGACACCGAAGGAATCATCAATATTTTGGACGACAACAATATCTATATTCAAACATAATGGAGGACACCGTGTGCTATTTCGTTAAAAATATCATGGATTATGTGTTACACAGATTATCAGCATTGTGTTTATATTATATGAAAAAAAGTGAATTTGTGATGTGATAACAAAAAGTGAAAAAGTGATCATCACCATACCATATTCAAAAGAATTATTTAGTGTTTATTTAATAAAAATGAAATACAAATTGCATGAATGATTTACTATAACCAAACAAAGATAGTACTATATTCTAAATTCATTCCAAGATAACTAGTTGAATCCTTAACAAATCTTGTATTAGGTATATACATAGAGAATATCATATGGCTTTTTCAATATCACATCCGTATCAACCCGAGACACCAATATAATCCCAAGAGCTCTGCTCGAGGGATTATATTGGTTGAGGGTTGATACGTTGTGTGGTATTGAAAAAGCCACAGTGACTGCAATCGATGACGTGACGTCATACAGATTAAAGGTGTGATAAAGCCTTTGCAACCGTGCTGATATCGATATCATCACGGTTGGCTGATACAGCACACTTGCCAATTATTGTATTACACATACAATTTATCTGTATTTACTACTAAGTATATAATAAATAGTATTATTTGTGTTTGCTCTTTGCATGCTTTTAATTTAACAAATACAATTATGGTCATTTATTAATCCAAATGTGTATGTATATTTTAATATAGTCCTTTTATTTCATTTATTTTTTATTGTTATTTTTTGTTTGTTTCTATAGATGTTCAACCACACATATTTCTTCTCCTCAAGCCGGGGAAAATGTTTAAAAGAACATATAAGATGCAAGGAAATTTTTGTTAAGCCAGGAGCTAAATTAGAAGAACTTGCAAATGTTGCTTACCAAAGACTACATGCAGTTCAAGAACCCAAAATAGTATATATAATGGCAGGGATACCAGATATCTGCACCAAAACTAAAGCCCCAGCATATGAAGAAAGTTTTTATAATTTAGATGACTGTGGTAAATTATTAACTATGCAAAATATTTTAAGTCAAATAAGAACAAAATTAGAATCCATCAATTGTAAGGTTGTTTTTGTAACCATAACCACCATGAGTTTTCATGACTGGAATATACATAGACTTAAATGTCACAAAACTTCAAAATTATTATATTTAAATCAATATGTTGAAATGCAAAATCAACTTAATTCAGTTCTTCATCAGCTGAACAAATTCATAACAGCTTCAAATGAAGATAATAATGTAGTAACACCATTTCTTCATACCTATGTGCATAAAATGATGGGAGAAAGACATTATTATAGCTATTCAAAATTGGTTGGTGGTGTCCATCCATCTGCAGCCTTAGCAGAAAAATGGCGAAAATATTTAAAAAGAATTATGAAGATCAATGAAAGAATTTTACTTGAATGAACAAAATTATAGTGGAAGCATCTATAAAACAAACATTGTATATATTTCATTAATAAAATATTATGAATTTTTTTTAACACATATGTATGTATATATATATATATATATATATATATAACTTTGTAGGAACAAAGTCTTCAGTTCCATAGGGTAATATAGTGAGAGAAAAATAGACAAAATATGGAAATTTTATATTTCCATTAAAAGAAAGAGAAAGAATGCCTAATTTGAATAAAAGGAAGTATCATAGATTTTATAAGAAAGTGAAATTATAATGCTTAATATATAAAGAAAATTCATACTAGAAGAATTGAATAAAATTTATGTTACCCTATAAAAATGATTTATGATGAAAAATATAATTTTAAATATTAACTGAAGTTGGAAACTTGTAAATAGAATTAATAGTTAATTATATAATTTCACAGATATTTTGTACATAGTATTACGTAAAGTTTTATATCAAAGAGCATGTTAATTAAGTCTCTTTTGTAAGTACTAGATGTCAGTACTTTTAGCTAATAAAGACTTTTATAAAGTAAATAGATAAATCCTTTTAAAAATGTCAATTGTATTTGGGAAGTATTTTAATTTAAAGGAACAAAGGGAATTATTTATCTTCTTTGTTCATAGGTAAAAGTTAGATAATCCGTTTACTAGGGACGCTAAGAATTAAGACAGAATGATTGACAAAAGCTTAAATGGTCAGCAGGTAATTGATGACCAATGAAATTAATTATGGAAGTCTTTTTAATTACTATTTGGCATTTGATTGGAGAAAATAGAAGAAGTTCTTAAATCCAAAGGTCATGTGACTAAAATTTCGAATATCCAAAATAATGTTTTAGTGTCAATTGATCTTTGGAACCTGAAATAAAACATCTTTACTTACAGAACTTCTGTCTATTTTAGGTGAGTTAATGTTACATTTAATTTAATATATGATTTTGAATTAAATAAGTTAATACTAAATTTATAATTAATTAGGGTCAAGATTTATTAACATCTGTTGTACTTTAAGGACAAATTGTATATAATATTTTAAATGCAAAATGGACATATTCTCTTGTATAAGTCTTGTGAAGTTAGCTGTAAATAAGTTTTATGTTAAATGTGAGCTATTATAAGTTTTTAAGATATTAATTTTAAAAGTAATTAAAAGGTTAAACGTTTAAAAAGAGAACACTACTAAATTAAGGAACTTATCATATTTACTCCGGAATAAGTTTTATAATTACTTTGTTCATGGGAGATAATTTTGAGTGTAAATTTATATCGCTAAAGATTCTGAACACGCTCAATCTTCAAAACCCTAATTTTACTGATTACGTGAATAAGTTTAACTTACAGAAATTGCAGAAATGTTTGAAGCCTGGAGACTGAGGTATCCATTATATAATGTAGCTATATTGTGATTTAATATGTTAATATTTTGAATGCTTAGAATTTAGATTGATTCAGATAGTAAAAACACATATCATTTCTTTTATGTTATTAGCAAGTCTTGCATACAACATTTTAATTATTAGAAATATAAAGTCCCTTTTTCAATTTAGAGTTTTAAGTACATGTACCTGTTTTGATTAGTAAGTTAACTTCAATTTATGAAAAGGCAATTATTAAGAGACAACATTGATTTAGTATTGTGAATTATCTGGAATGTTCAAAGAAATATATTTAGTTATGCAATTAAAGAAAATATGCGAGTAAGGCTCTTGAGTTAGGTGTCCCCCTTTTTAATGAAATATAACTATTGAAAGTTACAGAGTTAATTCCCCTGATGAGTTATTCCCCTTTGAAATAAGTTGTATGTGAGACTGTAAAGGTTGATCATTGTTTATTGATTTATTGATGCATGATTTATTCATAATTGATTGTAATTGTTTATTGAATATACAATGTAGACTTGATCTTTGGAACCTGAAAATAAAACATCTTTACTTACAGAACTTCTGTCTATTTTAGTAACTTGCAATATAAACAAGAAAAACCCCCCTACAATCAGCACAACACCGGTATAGCTGTCTTTTGCAATAAAAGTTGTTTTATCATATTTTCGCCGAAGCAGACAAATTCTAAATCTTCCTCCGAAATGTTTGAATCGTTTGTTTTTTGTTAAATTGCACTGTCTCCTTCTTTTCTATAAGGAAGCTGATACGAGGCTGGAGCTGCTAGATCAGAAACAATATACAGACATTAAAAAAAATGCAGAATATCCTCTGGTAGATTAAATATTTGAGATCCAGGTGCTCAATACACAGTCGAGGACCAATAATTTAATAACTTTAACCGTATGTTCATTATTGTAGATCCATCGATTAAACCTAACCTTTGCAATTCATATTTTGACAATTTTCCAACAATATCAAATGTGATTTTTTCATCTTTAAAATGAGATACCACCGTGCCATGGTTTATCTCTTTTTAAAATCTCAACCATTTTCCAAACGAAAGCTACAAATATTAGCCGGGTTTATAGTAATTCCGGAGAAGCAGATCGGAATCAGTTATGACGTAGACAGTAATCGTTCTAATCGTAATCATGTTTATTGACCATAACAACGATGA